ATAATCTACTTCATGGGTACTGTAATGCAGGATCGGCCTGCGCGTCCCCGGAGCTGCCGGGAGCACGCAGCGAGCCGCGATCCACGTGCGGACCCTTGATGCAGTTTGCTGACAGCAATGCCGTTGCCGACCCCTCACGTTGCGGATCTTAATGCCATGCCTCAACATCCTCGTAGATGATATCCTCTTCCGGCTCCTGAGCAGTTAAACTCCTACAAAAGGACTTTGGATGAGAGGCGGGAGGCTTGATGAGCTTCATGACTTGAACTTGAAGCAACCTCTTCCCTGGACCTCGGCGACCCAAAACAATCCTTTCCCTGTGCCAAATACTGATTCTGACTGGACCATGTTTAGTACCTAGGAAGGTAGACATAGTTGGAGAGAATTATCAGCGCATTCAGCGTCTAGCTCTTAGCTCCAAAGCTCTTAGAGCTTCATCTTGCTGTCCCCGTTGCTTACTGAGTTCCAGTGGCCCCGGCATCTGCCGTCTCGAGGAAGCTCTAGGAAGGGAACACTGGCTCTGCTCTGCCGCGCTCGAAGACATCCCTTCACTCCAGAAATCCTAAGGATCCCGAGGGCTGCAGCCTGCAAACCCAAGATATTCCCCGTGGGCATCCACAAACAACTGCGAGGGAAGGAGAGGGTTTTAGGCTTTCGACAAGTTACAGGAGCAGCCGAAGAACGAATATGGATCTGCAGGAAGATTGGGCCGGCGGGCGGGATGTTCACCCAAGACAAGGAGTAACTGTCGAGGAGCTTTGCAGGCGGCCAGCAAAAAGATGTAGCAACCTTCGAAAAAACTTCGGCTTGCCTTGCCGGTCGCCCTTCTCAATTGACAGTTTCAAATTTCGGGTGCTTTCACCTGCGCCTACCTGAGCAGAGCTGCAATCCGCTGAGAGGATCTTAAGCGCCAAGTGCCTGCTTCTCATACTTCGCTTCGGCAGCTTTATTCTGTTGATTCTTAGCCGAGCATCAGCCACCCGCTTGTGTTTGTGGATCTTTGCCGATGCCGGCCTTCCATCATTCCTACTCAGTCCGCCAATGCCAGGAACTGTCCAGCCGGGCCTGCGACGCTGATGGCTCGGATACACCGCGTTTGCAGCACGTGCTGCGACCACTGCCGGCGCAGGTGCTGTTGGCACATGTGCTGCCGGCGCATGCGCTGCATGCGGAACTGGCGCCTGTCAGAGCGACTGCATCCTCGGCCCGTCCAGTCAGAGTCACAAGGCTCGCCGCGGCTCGCCTTCGCTTTCACTTTTGCCTCCACCTGTTCAGCGCTTTTCGCCGAACTTGGCGGGGGCACGCGATAAGGAAGGTTGGCCTGGCAGACATGTCGGCGAAATCCGCATGATCTGCCATCGCCCCCCCCCACTCTGAACTCTGCCTTTTCACGTTCTTGCAGAGGATGCCGAAGGCGGAGGCCTGCACAGCTTCAACGGAGCTCTGCTGAATTTGTCGTATGCCGAGAAGCAGCCTCCAGGCACTGGACAGCGGGTGGAGCTGGGCCTTGCTCACGGCAGGTGGTCTCTCACCTTCTCGAATCCCTCAGCTCAGTGGGCGACCGTTCGCTGTCGTTGAAGAAGGAGCCCTGCACCAAGAGGCACATGCACTATGGCTTGAATCCCATGTGATCTCCGCTGCTCCCTGCGATCCCTGGTCTTTAGTCGCGCTGTTTGTGATTCCTTTGAGGCTCGACAAGCGCTTGACTTGGAGTTTGGTCATGATGCTGCATCAGAATGGTGACCGACAACCGAACAGGACGCTGCAGATTTCGGCCTCTGCAGATGCGTCTGACATGCTCCATCCTCGGCCATACGAGAGGAAAACCCTGACAAATGGTCGAGACCTTGCAATTTGTGCTGTGCTGGCAGGGGCAGCGGCTTGGAACAGGACCAGATGAGCTCGAGCGAGCTGCACCTGGCGAACTTGAGTGCACACATGTGAAAAGTCTGGCTTGCGTGGATTCCAGGAGGAATGAGTAAGTACAATTGTATCCACCAAGAACGCACCGCACATGATATAACTACGTCTGACCCAGCTGAGGGTCCGGACTCCGCGTCGAGGAGGGCCTGGCTGAAGCTAACGCTCTGCTCAGAAGGACTTCGGGAGACCAGCATTCGCCAGCATCTGTCGGAGTGCGTCAGAGGTTCGTGTAAATCCCACAAGTAAAGAAGACCTGCAGTTCGAAACAATGACAAGTCAAGGCGTGCTTCGCCAAAGTGTAGAGGAGCCGAAGCAGCCTATGCTTCTGGTTTCGTTGCGTTGTCTAGTTGTCTCGCCTTGCGGAGGATGGCCGAGCCCGAGAGGAGCCTTGTGCACCTGACCAAGACTCCACTCTGACTTAGTTCTCTCAGGTCAATGCTCAACTGGTCCTCTTGGGCCCCTAAGAGCTGTTCCTGCTCTCAGACTGCGTTTGTCCATCACTGTGCAGGTTGGCTTCTCCTCGAAGTCTTGCGCGGGAGGCGAGGACTCGATTCTCTCATCTCTTCTGTGGGATGGCAGCAAAGTGCTTAAGCAGAAGCATGTCTGCTCACAAATTTCGCCTTGCAATGACCTATGTTTTCAAGGGGTTACCGGGTCCACTTGAGCGCGAGTGAAGCGGTCCCGGCAACCTGGATCTGAACAATGCCAAGTGCTTGTCACTTGGATGCACTGGCCTCGGGCGCTGCTGCTGCGAGGCTTTGGCGCATATGCCGCGCATCCCTCGGGCCAACTTGATCCACATTCCAAGGCACAGGTGGGCTGAAGGGGACAATCTGCGAGCTTGCTATTTGTTCCTGCAGCCTTGACACCAGGACTTGGGGCGACTGAAGCACTTGAATGCTAGCGCGACTGAAGCAGTTCTGTGACTTTTTGCGGTGCAAGAAACAAGACAGCTCCTAAACTCGAATCACGGGGTCACTCAACACTCGCGTCGCAGTAGACTTGCTCTCTCCGACCCGCCAGCTGGGCTTCCCTGCGCGGCTGCGCTGAGAAGACGAAGTAGAAGAGACCTGACAGCGGGCTGTTCGCAAGAGGTCGGAATTTGATTAGTCCCGTGGTGCCCACGCCCAAGAATTGGCGCCCCTTTCCTTGCAGTTGAGCCGCAACCGACTTTGGTACCAATAACTTGTCACGGATCCAGTCCTTCACAACACGTCTTTGCGTAAACAAATGGCAGGACAGTCTGGGACATTCACAGACATCCGGGCATGACCTTCATTTGACTGTGTACGAGTCTACGGATGAAGGCAGGGCTACGCTCTGCGGAAGTCTCCTTCGTCAGCGGTTCGGCGCTCGAATGTGAGCTCGCCTGGACAACGTCTCTCAACGTTCGCTGTGGTCTGGCAGAGATTCGAGAGATCTTGTTTGTTGACGAGCCTTGTAGGACAGGATTTCAATCAGCTCCTCGGCATCGACAAGTGCCACAACTCAAGTAATACAGTCTTCTGTGGGGCCTTGTCCGGCACTGGTGGAAGTGGTGGGACCGCGGCCGGGACCTATGGAGACTGAGCTGGCTTTGGATGAAAACGTGGCCGCTTGTGAACCTGAGCGTGCAACACGCAGCTGGAGTTGCCCAATGCCGTCCAGTTCGAAGTACGAGGCGTCCAACAAGCAAAGGAGGAACCTCAGTGTGCATCAGGTGCTGCTCAACGGAAAAGTTTGCGCATGCACGGCTATCAAGCAATCTAGACATATCTACAATTTCACTTGGAGTCTGCACGGATGGCTGCGTAGCTGTGGCATGGGCTACAGAGAAGCCATGTGTCGCAATCCATGTGTTTCAGTTTTCCCGTGGATCTTCGCCGCAGCTCTGAAGATCAATGCTCCATCCGTGCCTCTCGCGGTGCCGCAGTCTTTACGACGTTTACCATGCGAGCGCACACGGCGAAGACATCTTGCAGTCAAGTCAGAGCCCAGCCAGTCTCTTCTGACTGTAACGGGCAGTTCTCACAAGATGTTACTAATGTTACTAATGCTCCCGATGACCTGCACCTGTCATGACGATCTTGAAGGCTACGGAGGGCTGTCGACAACGTGTCTAGAACCTCCTGGAGCATGACTTTGCATGCTGAGATGTGCTGCGAGTCCGTTGTTCGGACCTTTTCGGCACTGCATTATTCAAGCGTGATATGAGGCACCCAGGTACGCACTACATTGCGAACAGCGCCCACAACCCTCGGTCCGGCACTCCCTCAAGGGGTCCCCGTCGGCGAGCGCAGCCTGACGGCTCCTTAAACGGACGAACTCCATATGGAGTTGAATGAGCCGCCATAGGCCGCCACAGCGCCACATCTTGAGGACAGGGCCGAGCCAAGCGCTGCCACCAGCTGTCGAACATGACCTGGCATGCTCTGGAGCACTTGAAACACCTGGCAATAGACGATCGGATTCGAAAAGCTGTTAGGCGGAATTTAGCCCAAAGGCAAGAGAGTTAACATCAGCTCGCAAGATCCGAAAATGCAGAATTCTCTTAACAACTGTTCTGGGTCCCAGGCATCCCAGAAGGCTTCGAAACCAGTCAGCAGTGAACGAGGCTTGTCCGCTGGATGCTCTTCTGTTTTCACGACGGGCAGATGTGTTTTGGAGCCAAGTGCTCGGGTCTGGTGGCTACGTCGTGCGTTTTACAGCACGCGGTCGACCTGTCACAGGTAACGTCACCTATTTGTCAGAAGTCGTACAGATCCTTCGGGGCGATGTTTCAAAGTCACGAGTACAATGTGAATACAGAATACACTGTGAAATTAATTTCGGCTCCACTTTCCAGAAGGATATGCACAGACACTCGGACGGACTGATGTTCAGTCAGGTGCATACATGCGTACTCTATACGGCATGTATTTGCGGGCGCTGATCCCTTGTCGGGAGAAGAGGTCGTTTTCATCCTTGTTCCGGTACCAAATTAGCCCGAAGTCGTGGCTCTGGTCGCGCGCGCGCATCCGCGGGATGCAACCCTACTTGTGGACCAGAGACAAAGAAACTTACTTACCACGTATGAGAGAAATACCATTCGAGAAAAGGATCATGCCATTGCATGGCTGCAAACTCATCACGACATTCAAGTTTCGTATATCCACCGTCTCGCGTCATCGATGCCAAAAATCACGTCCAAAAAATGCGTTGCCCCGGTAGTTTGCGGTCGTTGAAGCGTGTGAGTCTGCAGCTCGTTGGCAATAGCAGCCTGCTGGGCTTGCTCTTCTCTCGTACCGTGTGGGCTCTCTTGCCATCGAGGCGTGCCCTCCTTTGCAGGATCTTGCCGTGTTCTCGCAACTGAGTTTGCGATGTCGCCCGGAGTTCCTTGGCCCTGTTTGCCTTCAATTCGATGAGCTCGCTGTAGTAAAATGCCTTCATGCGGAGGGGGGTTGACTGGGAAACCCCTCATCCCAAATCAAAGTTACTTTAGTGGAAGCGTTGTGCGTAGAATTGACAAGAGCGGCGTTGAGAAAGCAACCAAGCCCTGTGTGCAGGCACACAAGCCAAGGTGCCTGCTCCCACAAGTTTCCCTGAGCCTGACGGATGCGCATGAGAAAGGCTCTGTGAACCACTGAACTTTACTCTCTTACTCGCTGTTCTGCGTTATTCTCATTCTCCTTCCGTGTGTGACCTCGTCTCCTGGAGCAACCTGCCGAGCTGGAAACAGCTTTGCCGGCAGGTGGCTTCACAAGAGCCTGCAACCCAGATGCAGCCGAAGTCGTTGCAAATCAGTACACTCAGCTCACTGAACCTTCGCCGACATATGCAAAAGGCTTCAAGCTTGCCCGCAACCGACTCCAGCAAAATAAGCTTTAATTATGCCAACAGCTGGCGCACAGAAAAATGATCAAAGCTTGGGCGACATCGCTTCACCAGCTCTCATTGTCGTATCAACAGGTTCTTTAAAAACCTGGATGGGCACTAGCAAGAGCCACTCCTGCATCCACCTCCAACCGAAATCAACCGTTGCACAGTCCGAGTGCGAGTGACCGGCCTGAACGACAAACCGGTCAAGCACCCTGACATAGTGCGGTTGGTACGGATTCTAGCTCGCTTTCCACACCTCGTATTGACCGCTAACCAAATACTCTCTTCCCAGTGCGCACGAACTCTGCGCGTTCGGAGACGCTCATAAATGCTCTGCAACGCTCTGCATTGCTTGTGGCACCTAGCACGAAGCATGAGTCATCAATAACATTGACCGGCAGGTGTGCAGGGATTGCGGAAAACCATGGGCCTTTATTGCAGTGTAGGAAACATGTCAGACATCCTCCGATCACACCGTCCAACGTGGCAACTTAATTCAAACTTAAAATCAGCATTAAAAGAAAATGCTGTGAAATTTCTGGCGAGTCAGCCGGGTTTTCATCCCTGGCCGGCAGCGCGACAACGAGCATCATCGGCCGGGGTACCGGTAGTACGTCTTGGCCAGATCTGACGGCAACCTGGGAATGTGGACAGCTGCCTGCACACGGAGGTCTCGATGCTGCACTGCAGCCTTGGAGCAAATCCCTGAAGTCACTGAAGTCACCGTCAGTCTCAGACGACCGGTGCGGCAGGAACAATTGTGGTCGCACATTGGCATTCGGCTCGAAAATGAAATCCTGTCTCTTTGGCTTGTCAACAGCGGACAAAAATTGAACGGGCTGTCCAAGCTTTCTGCGCGCCACCCAAACATGACAGTCAATTGCAGCCCTGACGCCAGATCGCTGTACTGGCGCATGAAGTTCTTCCAGCCCTAGCAGCTCGAGCACCAAGCACAGGGGAAGGTTCAGCACGCCCGCAGCGTTAGCGCCAGCACCAGCACCGGCAGCAGCAGAAACCGCAACACCAGCAAAAACAGCACCAACAGCACCAACGGCATCAACAACACCAACAACCAACAAGCACCAACCACCAACCAGCAACTACCGCTCACCGACCACCGACCACCAACCACCAACCAACAACCACAACAACTGCAACAATTTTTGTTGGTCGCTCAGCGAGCGGCCTGCAGACCCATGGCGTGCCATTGGCAACAGACCTACCGTGTTCATCTGTGCGGGCGTAAGACACAAAGGTCACGTCTGAAGCAAGGGCCGAAATCTGTTCATCATGTCGGAGCACTAGTCTGGCCATTGCATTTATCAGATCCATCGATACACTTCCTTGTCTCTGTTGCTGACCTCCACTGTTCTCCCCTTGATTCTTACCGCCTCCATTCCCGTTACCACTGTTCCCTCTTCCCCGACCCTTAGCCCCTCGTGTCTTCCCTCTGCCTCGAGATTGGGGAGCAGCTCCACCGCGCTGTCGCTTCAGGTGAGAGTCTCCTCCCGAAGGTCCTGCCTCGTCCCTTTTCGGGGCTGAACTTTCATCCATGGCAGACCTCTGGAAGAGGCTTGCAGCGACATCAGGGGGGATTGGAGCTGCTACCTGAGGCTCTTCTGAGAGGCGAGTGCGCTCAAGGAACAAGATATAGCAGTGCGCTAGCCCATCTAGCCCACCACCATCCCCTACATCCTCCGTGTAGGAACTATAGCTAGAGTAGTCGTACTAGCCGAGTAACGACAGCGAGCTAACAAACAGTAGCGCGCGACAACTCTCCTTTTTCATGGATGTGGCGTAAATCCCAGTTAGCCTGGAGATTGTCGCTAGCCTTTGGCTAGCCCTCCCCAGGGTGGGTTGGGTGGGTACTTCAAAATTACCCCCCCAATGGGGGACCTTATCCAGAATGGCCACGGAAGTGTACAAGGTTCCTCGCCATTCCAGGTCATGCTATCCAAGTCTTGCAGGCTGACACATACAGCAAGAGCAATAGATAGCCGTCGAAACTTCGTTTCTAGCCGAAACACCTACGATGGTTTCGGTGGGAAGATTATCGGGCTAGCACACATAGTCGTAACTCGTTCCTCGTCACGAGATACGTGCACTAGCCCATCTAGCCCACGACCATCCCCTACATCCTCCGTGTAGGAACTAGCTAGAGTAGTCGTACTAGCCGAGTAACGACAGCGAGCTAACAAACAGTAGCGCGCGACAACTCTCCTTTTTCATGGATGTGGCGTAAATCCCAGTTAGCCTGGAGATTGTCGCCAGCCTTTGGCTAGCCCTCCCCAAGCGGAGCCACTCAGGCTACCAGGGATCTAGCCTTCGGACCTTCCGGCTAAAACGCGACACCCTCGCCGGTGTCTCCAGCTCCCGATAGAAACTATCGGAGTGCGCGAGTAGCCGGTCCAGCACCCTCCAACGGAGTTCGTCCCCCTTGAGGACTATCCTCAAGCCGGGGTCAAAAGCACCGAACTCCTCGTTGGTGAGGTCGTCTGCTAGCTGGCTGAGATCTCTCCGTATCCACTGCAGCTGCAGCTCACAGTTCCTGTGGGATAGCTCTTCGGCCGTCTCCATCAGGATTAGCATGGAAGGATACTTTGTCGTCATAGCCTTCTTCAAGAGGGACTCATTGGACTTGTATCCGTGTAGCCTCTAATGGCAACTCGCGAGGTTTTCCTATCCTCGCCCTCCGGGACCCAGAGGCGTATATTCCGCCGAGGGTCGCTAGCAACTCTAGCGCGGCTATCACCTTCTGGTCTCCTTTGGAGAAAGCCCAAGGTGCCCAAGACCTTCCTCCTCGAGCGAGAACCAGGGTCCCGGCTTCCCCGAATCTAGCTCTAGGAAGCCCCCTATCCATGCTCTCGTGGACTCGGCCTTAGCATCGGTGTAGAAGCTCAGGGGAGGTAGCCCACGGAGTAGCCGTACAGGTCGTTGGAGGCGGTCCCTTGTGGTCAACTTCAGGTCATGAGCACCCGGAGCATGGTGGGTATCACCAGGTAGCCCATCTCGTCCTTGGATAGCCGCAGACCAGGCATGGAGGGGACCCAGGAAGGGCCTCTCCCAGTCGAGCGGAATCGCTGCAAAGCCTAGCCGGCCCAGGCCCTGCTGCATCGCCTTCGCCGACACTCGACCTGTACGGGACCTCTCGCCTAGCCAACTAGCCAACCATTCATCCGGCTCGCTTCTCCGACATCCCCAGCCGGTAGCCGGTGTAGTCCGTCTCCATGCCGAGCCACTCGACACAGCAGCCGCGTCTTCGCCCATTTGAAGGGGTAGCCGAGCACCGAAAGGGAGAGGTAGCTCAACGGAATCCCTTGCCTACCCTTGGCACCTATCCCTAGCGACTCGAGGTCATCCGCATAGAAGGAGATGGTGAGTAGCCCGATTCCGCAGGCCACCAATAACTAGGGGATAGCCCAAAGGTGCCCACCTTGTTGACGTAGACGATCTGGCTATCCGGGTCGCCCGGCACCGTCTCCTCTTCATCTATCTGACAGCCCACGTAGCCATGCTCGCTAGCCTGGTGCTTGTATCGCCGGTGGGCCTTCGAGATGTCGCCGACGACCGAGTAGGCCACCTCGCCCTCCGACTCAAGCTCCCTTAGCAGCTGCTTCTTCTCCCTAGCCCCAGGCACACGGAGCTTATCCCGGCATTTTATCCGGTTGTTGACCTTGACGCGGTGGGTGGCATCATGGATTATCCTCTTCTTATCCTTCTCCTCGTCCTCGACTATCACTGTCAAGGCTGCGATCGCCCGGTCCTCGCGGAACCTAGCCTTGAACTCGCCGAGGGTCATCTTCTCCATGAGCCCCTCCTTGACGTCCTCCTCGAACTCATCCCGAAACGACGGCGCGGTGATCCTTCACCCGGCTCCCAAGGGAGGTCCTCTAGCCTCCAGGAAGTCTGCTCCTCAAAAACATGAGGAGTCCTGGCTATCTCCAGGAGGACACGAAGTAGCCGAAGACGAAGTGGCTGGCCCTCCGCCATATCCGAGAGGCCGGGCTCGCTATCCACTTCTGGAGCAACTGGAGAATCTCCTGGTGGATATCCTCGTCTCTTACCAGGTTGCATCCTGCCTCGCCCAGCTCCGCCATCCGGAAGGCTTCCTTCTCCAGTTCGTCTTCCGAGCCAAGCTTAGCCAGAACGATCTCCCTGATTTTCTCGCGTAGCCACCGCCAGGAAGGGTCGTCGGCATAGCCCCGACGATCTCGAGGCCAGCGGCCGGGGGAACACAGCCCGCCACCGTCGTGGTAGTCCTTAGCCCCATTCATCTGGAAACATCGCCTCGGCTTGCCAGTTCCCCCATGTATCCTGTCGCCTTCCGATTTGGTGGTGATGTAGCCCAGCTCGGCCACAGGCTTATCCTGGTTCGCGTCCCCCGTCTCTCCAGGAGCTGTCGTAGCAGACGTGCAGCAGGTAGCCAAGGCCAGTTGGGCTAGCCATTCACAGAATTTGGTCGGCCAGACGCCGCCCGCCGTCTTGGCAATCATAGCCGGTGCAGGGGGCCTGTGTAGTAGCCCGCGCTGTCGAAGCTTGGGCTCCCTCGCCACATGAAGTCAGGTAGCTGCAGGTGGGTCTTCAAGAGTATCCTTGTAGGCTTGAGCTCGCCAGGAACAAAGCTATCCCGATGGAAGGCCGCAGAGATGAGGCCTCGCCGCAGGAGCTCCTGGTGCTGCGGCCATTGCCACATGCTAGCCGGTCGCTCGCCTTTGCGCGGCCCTGCCGGCATCGCCCCAAGGTCTTCCGACTGTTCTAGCAGCAGGAAGCTGAACCCTGTGCAGCTAACTTAGTCATATCCCAACAAAAATCAGCAAAAATGTTGCCAGCAATAGCCCGGTCTCTCTCCTTCGCCGCGAGGCTTGGCAAAGCTCCGGACGGGCCGCGGGCCCGAGAAGTTAGCCCAAGTCGCTCGAGAAGAGGTAGCACAGGGCGGCTTCATGAAGATCATGTCATAGTAGCCCTGCTCGAGCAGGTCGAGGTATCGTCGCCGGACCTTAATTAGACTGTGTGAGGTCGTAGCGGCGCCCACGGGAACTATCCACGAGGTCGACGACCACCTCGCGGGAGAAGCTAGCCGCCAGGCGCCGCAGGAATGCTGCAAGCCCTCCAGCCGTATCCTTCCCAGAAAACAGGAAAAGTGCCCGTAGCCTATAGAGGTGCGTAGCCTCGAGCCGGGTCAGTTAGCCGGGGTCGGCTGCTCCGTAGCCGGCGGCCTGCGTCGCGGGCACTTCGTAGCCGGGTGGTCGCCGAGGCACTTTATGCAAACGTGCACGAAGTGACACTTCTCGCCTTTCTTCACCCATTCTTAGCATTGAAACGATAGCAAATAGGTTTGCCATCTGCTGTCCGATTGTAGCCTTCCCTCTCCTTGCCAGTTTTGAGCTTTTTGTTGCCCTTATCCTTGCCCTTGCCTCGCCCTTCTTTCTATCCTCATGGAGTAGCGGCTTTCTATCCACGCCGTACTCGACTAGCGGTCCGACTTGCCACTCGAGGTCGCCAGTCTATCCTGCTAGCCGCTGCAGCTGAGCTAGCCGCTTCGCTAGCACGCGCTGCGGCGGTAGCCTCTCCGGGGCGCTGCTGCCTGGCCGCGGTGGCCCTTTTCCGGGATGGGAAGCTCGCGCTAGCCCGGCCATGGGCCTCCGACGGAGTCGGGTCTATCCGGGGCTTCCCGAACATGCCCCTGTGCTCGCCTCCTCTGGCCTTCTAGCCTCTGGTCACGAAGCTCTCTCCTGCGGGATGCCTCCTCGAGGCTGTCTTTCCTGGCCAGGAGCTGCGCCATGATATCCTGATCATCGCCAGACGGGGCTGCCTTAGCCGCCGGCGGCGTGTTGATCTCTCCCGGCACATAGCCAGTATCGATGTTAGCCCGCTGCCTGTTGGCGGCTATCCTCTGCTGCAGGTAGATCTGCTCCGATATCCAGTCTCCTCTGCACCTCCGCCGGGATATCGTCCCAGCCAGGCCGGAGGAGTAGCCTTTCGGACATCCTGCCCCGCCTCGCGGGCCATCGCCGTTAGCTCCGCCCGCCAGGTCATCTAGCTGTTGTCTCTCCAGCTGCTCAAAGAGAGCAGCACATCTATCCGAAGTCCCTAGCCAGCAGCGGATCTCTCTCACCAGAACATGAGCGTCATGTTCAATAGCCGCCTTTTGGTGGGAGCTCTCCTGCGAGGGCGGTCGCCCCACCTCTGTATCCGTCTCGTCATCCTCGCTTGTGGCACTCGCCCACGAAGTAGCCTTGCCCTGCCCTTTCGAGCCGAGCGCACTCTGGCCCCCCTATCCGGGGGGCGTCCTGCCATGGCCTCTCGCTAGGGAAACCCTAGCCCAGACTGAAAAGCTTCCTGGGCCGTTACCTCCAGGCTAGCCACAGCACTCGCGGCGATTGCAGGCATGCTTCATAGCCGACGTGTACATCGCACATGCTCGCATCCCTTGCACTTGCCCTTTACACAAGCACAGCCGCACGCACTAGCCCCCGCACTAGCACTTTACATGCAGGCACTAGCCCTTTACCAAGACAAGAGCAAGAACGTGATTCTCTCCACTCCTCTATCCTTTCTCCGCGCCCCGGCCCCCCCAGGACACCCGGGGGAGGATGTTGTTCCACCCGTGCCCCTAGCTCGCCTTCACTATCGCCCTCCGAGCCGTCATCCTCCTTATCCTGCTCCGCCGGCTCCGGGTCCGGGATTTCCGCGTCCACCACGGCCTCGCCAATGATCTCCGCGTCCCAGTCCGCTCTCATCTCCTTCGCTCCTCGGGCTTCCAGCAGCCCAGCATATATCCCTATGTGTATTGGACCTCTATGTATGATTTGCAGGTCTCGGTTGTTTCGAAGGACGCATAGGGGATACGAGAATACAGAAACCAGTTTCAATAAATTCAATTTTTTCAAAAATTTTTCCTTTTGAGGAAAATTTTTGAAAAAATTAAATTTTTGAAAAAATAAAGACCCTGGCCAGGCGCGGCCGTCGCACACCAGGATCCTTTGAAATTTTTGAAAAACTTGAAATTTTTGAAATTGAAAAAATAAAGACAAATTTTTCAAAAAAACTATTTTTTCAAATAAAGACAATTTTTTCAAAAAATTCAATTTTTCAAACATTTCACTCAAAAGGAAAATTTGTTGAAAAAATTGTTAAATTTTAAAGAATCCTGGCCGGCGACGGCCGCGCCTGGCCAGGGTCTTTATTTTTTCAAAAATTTCAATTTATTCAAAAATTTTATCCAAAAGGAAAAATTTTTGGAAAAAAAATGAACTTTTTTAAAAAATTGTCTTTATTTTTTCAAAAATTTCAATTTTTTCCAAAATTTTAAAGAATCCTGGCCGACGACGGCCGCGCCTGGCCAGGGTCTTTATTTTTTCAAAAACTTCATTTTTTCAAAAATTTTCGTCAAAAGGAAAAAATTTTGAAAAAATTGAAATTTTTGACAAATTGTCTTTATTTTTTCAAAAATTTCAAAAATTTCAATTTTTTCAAAAATTTTAAAGAATCCTGGCTGGCGACGGCCGCGCCTGGCCAGGGTCTTTATTTTTTCAAAAATTTCATTTTTCAGAAATTTTCTTCAAAAGGAAAAATTTTTGAAAAAAAATTAAAATTTTTGGAAAAAATTGTTTTTATTTTTTCGAAAAATTAATTTATTCAAAAATTTTAAAGGATCCTGGCCGGCGACGGCCGGGCCTGGCCAGGTCTTCATTTTTTCAAAAATTTCAATTGAAAAAATTGTCTTTATTTTTTCGAAAATTTCAATAATTTCAATTTTTTCAAAAATTTTAAAGAATCCTGGCCGGCGACGGCCGCGCCTGGCCAGGGTCTTTCTTTTTTCAAATAGTTTTATTGGTTCAACAAGTGTTCCTTTCGAGGGAATTTTTTCGAAGCACTTTGAAACAATTGTCTTTATTTTTTAAAGAATTTCAGGCATTTTTCCGAATTATTAAAGAATCCCCTTTTCTTGTTGGGGTGGACGACCTGCAACGGGATCTCTTCCTTTACCAAGAGGTTTTTGGAGCAGCCCTCTTCTTTCTTGTGAAATTGGAGCGAGCTTTCTTCCTGTTTTCGATGATTAGGTAGAGACCTCACACTCTGTTGGGGGGGTCGTCTCTGTCTTCTGTGGCTATGAGTGAAGTCTCTCCAGTCTTGAGAAGCGGCTTACCAATAGATAATGGACATCTCTTCTAGAAAGAAGCCCTCTTCTCTTGCCACGGAACTCTTGGGGAGGAGCTCTCTTCTTGTTGGCGGCATGAGGTGGGGGAGTTTTCATGGTTGAAAGAAGGAAAAGAGGCTGGGTGGGAGCTCCACCATCTCTTAGGTTCACTTCCATATTTTGAAAAGGTAGAAGGGATAGTCAGGATCTCGTTTTGTATCTGTAGAGAAGCTTGGTCTCTTCTTGCCGACTGAGGGGTAAACGGAGCTCTCCTTTTTCTCGAAAACTTGTAGGTACATGGTTTTCATTTTGTAGATGGAGCTCTCTTCTGTCTCATCAGGTTGGAGGAAGCTCTCAGTCTCTTCTTCTTTTGCTTTTGTCTTTGGAAGTTGGGGGAGCTCTGGTAAGCTCCAGTCCAACTTCTGAAGAGGAAGAAGGGATAGTCAGGAGCTCTCTTAATTTCCCTTGCCAAGGGAGAAAAGAGGCTTTATTTCGCCGACTGAGGGATAAGTGGGGCGATCTCCTCTTTCGCGAAGTTGGAGGGGCTTATGTAATGTTTCTCGAGAAGCTAGAGGGGCCTGTCTTCTGGGTCGTTGGGGGTAGGGGACCTGCCACGGGATCTCCTCCTCAGCCCTCTTCTTCGTTATGAAATTGGAGGGAGCTTTCCTTTGGTTTTGGATGATAAGGTATTGCTTCATTGTTGAGGGTAGGGGCGTCTCTGTCCTCTCTGGCTGGGAGTGAGGTCTCTTCACTCTTCTCAAAGTTGAGAAGCGACTTACCAAGAGGTAATGGAGCTCTCTAGAAAGAAGCTCTCTTCTCTTACAACGAAAATGTCGGGGGAGCTCTCTTCTTTTTCTTTTAGAGCATGAGGTGGACGAGTTCTGTTTCTTTTTCAAGAGGGCCAGACCTCTTTGTTTGAAGGGCTCCACCCTTTCTTTGAGCGTATGCTCTCTTCGTCTTTTGAAGGGGTAAAGGGGATAGTCAGCATCTCCTTTTGCCTAGAAAGAAGGAGGTCTCTCCTTGCCGACTAAGGGGTAAACGGAGCTCTCTTCTTTCTCGATATCTTGGAGGGGCTTGTTTGTTTTTTATTGAGATGGAGCTTGCTTCTGTCTCATTAGATTGGAGGAAGCTCTCAGTCTCTTCTTGTCGAGGACGAGGTAGAGAGGGCTTTTCTTTTTGGAAGCTGCTGGAGCTCTGTCCTCTTTTGCCAGTGTATCTCTTCCTCTACTGACAGGCAAAGGAGCTCTCTTCTAGAAAGAAGCTGTCTTCTCTTACCAAGAGTAACTTGGATTGAGTTCTCTGCTTGTTTCCGAGGATGAGGTCGAGGGCTTCTCTTTGCCTTTTGAAAGCCGCAGGGGAGGACCAGACTTCGCTTGTCAAGGTTTGAAGTTTGGAAGAGCTCCGTCCCTTCTTTTTGATCGAACGCTCGCTTGGATGTATTGAAGAGAAGAGGAGATGGTCAGGAGCTCTCGCCGCTGACTAAGAGAGAAAGGAGTCTTCTTGTTGTCGACAGAGAGGTAAACAGAGCGCGTGTTTTTCCGAGAAGTTAGAGGGGCTTGTCTTCTCAATTGCTGGGGTGGAGGACCTGCCACGGGATCTCTTCCTTTACCAAGAGGTTTTTGGGGCAGCCCTCTTCTTTCTTGTGAAATTGGAGCGAGCTTTCTTCCTGTTTTCGATGAACTCACACACTGTTGGGGGGGGGGGTCGTCTCTGTCCTCTCTGGCTACGGCTAGGAGTGAAGTCCCTCCAGTCTTCGCAAGACTGAGAAGCGGCCTCCCAACAGGTAATGGACCTCTCTTCGAGAAAGAAGCTCTCTTCTCTTACCACGAAAATCTTGGGGAGGAGCTCTTTTCTTGTTGGTGGCATGAGGTGGGGGAGTTTTCCAGGTTGGGGCAAAGGCAGGATTTCTCTCTTTGAAGGTTGGGTAGGAGCTCCGCTATCTCTTCTGTTCATTTCCATATATTGAAAAGGTAGAAGGGATAGTCATGAACTCCTTTTCTTACCTGTAGAGAAGCGTTGTCTCTTCTTGCCGACTGAGGGGTAAACAAACGGAGCTCTCCTTTTCCTCGATATCTTGTAGGGACATGGTTGTCATTTTGTAAATGGAGCTCTCTTCTGTCTCATCAGATTGGAGGAAGCTCTCAGTCTCTTCTTGCCGAGGATGAGCACTCTTCTCTCTCGCGAAGTTGGATGGGCTTGTGTGCTAATTTGAGATGGGGCCCTCGTCTGTCTCGTTACGTTAATAAGTTGAAGGAAGCTCTCTTCTTGTCGAGGATGAAGTACAGAACTTATGCATTGCTTTTGAATACCGGGGGAACTCTGTCCATGTTCTTCCATATTCTGAAAAGGTAGAAGGGATAGTCAGGATCTCGTTTTTTACCTGTAGAGAAGCTTGGTCTCTTCTTGCCGACTGAGGGGTAAACGGAGCTCTCCTTTTTCTCGAAAACTTGTAGGTACATGGTTTTCATTTTGTAGATGGAGCTCTCTTCTGTCTCATCAGGTTGGAGGAAGCTCTCAGTCTCTTCTTCTTTTGCTTTTGTCTTTGGAAGTTGGGGGAGCTCTGGTAAGCTCCAGTCCAACTTCTGAAGAGGAAGAAGGGATAGTCAGGAGCTCTCTTAATTTCCCTTGCCAAGGGAGAAAAGAGGCTTTATTTCGCCGACTGAGGGATAAGTGGGGCGATCTCCTCTTTCGCGAAGTTGGAGGGGCTTATGTAATGTTTCTCGAGAAGCTAGAGGGGCCTGTCTTCTGGGTCGTTGGGGGTAGGGGACCTGCCACGGGATCTCCTCCTCAGCCCTCTTCTTCGTTATGAAATTGGAGGGAGCTTTCTTTTGGTTTTGGATGATAAGGTATTGCTTCATTGTTGAGGGTAGGGGCGTCTCTGTCCTCTCTGGCTGGGAGTGAGGTCTCTTCACTCTTCTCAAAGTTGAGAAGCGACTTACCAAGAGGTAATGGAGCTCTCTAGAAAGAAGCTCTCTTCTCTTACAACGAAAATGTCGGGGGGAGCTCTCTTCTTTTTCTTTTAGAGCATGAGGTGGACGAGTTCTGTTTCTTTTTCAGGAGGGCCAGACCTCTTTGTTTGAAGGGCTCCGCCCTTTCTTTGAGCGTATGCTCTCTTCGTCTTTTGAAGGGGTAAAGGGGATAGTCAGCATCTCCTTTTGCCTAGAAAGAAGGAGGTCTCTCCTTGCCGACTAAGGGGTAAACGGAGCTCTTTTCTTTCTCGATATCTTGGAGGGGCTTGTTTGTTTTTTATTGAGATGGAGCTTGCTTCTGTCTCATTAGATTGGAGGAAGCTCTCAGTCTCTTCTTGTCGAGGACGAGGTAGAGAGGGCTTTTCTTTTTGGAAGCTGCTGGAGCTCTGCCCTCTTTTGCCAGTGTATCTCTTCCTCTACTGACAGGCAAAGGAGCTCTCTTCTAGAAAGAAGCTGTCTTCTCTTACCAAGAGTAACTTGGATTGAGTTCTCTGCTTGTTTCCGAGGATGAGGTCGAGGGCTTCTCTTTGCCTTTTGAAAGCCGCAGGGGAGGACCAGACTTCGCTTGTGAAGGTTTGAAGTTTGGAAGAGCTCCGTCCCTTCTTTTTGATCGAACGCTCGCTCGAATGTA